ATATATAAATTATATTCGGCAGCACGGTGGCACAGTGGGTAGCACAAACACCTCACAGCAAGAAGGTTGCTGGTTCGAGACCCAGCTGAGTCAGTTGGCGTTTCTGTGTGGAGTTTGCATGTTCTCCCCGTGTTGGCGTGGGTTTCCTCTGGGTGTTCTCCTTTTTCCTCCATAGTCCAAAGACATGCGGTACAGGTGAATTGGGTAAGTTAATTGTCCATATGTAACCCACCATTCCTACACCACCCAACCCGCTCCGAGCTGGGATCCAACCGACGATGGGAGTCGGGTGCTCTACCAAGGAGGCTAAAGACCATGGCCTCTAACGTCTGTATGTGTGGGGATGAGTGTGTATGGGTATTTCCCAGTGATGGGTTGCAGCTGGAAGGTCATCCACTGTGTATAACATATGCTGGATAATTTGTTGGTTCATTCCACTGTGGTGACCCCAGATTAATAAGGGGAATAAGCATTACATATACATAACAGTACACATACACAATAGTGTTGTTAAAACAGTGTCTGGAGTTGTTCAGCACAAATAAGTTCCTTTAAGGCAGTTTGAAAGATAAAGATGCTAAAAATAGTTCATCATTGCTTCTAGTTCATCAACCTTAAAAACAGGTCAAGCTGAGCGCACTGGGATACAATACTGCATTACGTCTGCTTCCTTTAGCAAATGTACAGTAGCAGATCATCCGTATACGCCATACGGAAACTTTAGATATAAACACACTGTGCATACTGCAGAGGAAGTAGACACAGTCGTGTGCGTGTGTGTGTCTGTAACATAACAGGACAGAAATTTGGATAATGGCATGAATATAACACAGGTATTACAATGAGAGGATGACTTATGAGAACATTCCCTGTGCCCCCATTTTTCAGAAGGCCCAGATATGATACAGTGGATGATACTTTTCTTAAATGCATATAAGAACTAGAGTTAGGTATAGGATGGAGACTTATATAATGCCCTCACAATTGTAAAGTGACATGGATAATGTCTGACAAATGCACTGCACTGTTGATTTGGTTTACTGTGTCCTCTAATTCAAAACGCCACAGGTTTTCTTGGAGGATTGAGCTTTGAGACTTAGGGCTCTATTTTGATGGTCCATGTGCAAAGCGCAAAACGCAGGGCGCAAACGCTTTCAGGGCGTGTCAGAACGCATTTTTGCTCATTTATGGACGGGAAAATCCGCTTTGCGCCGTGGCGCATGGTCTAAAAGGGTTGAGTTTATTTTGTTAATGAGTTATTGGTGTGTTTTGAGAATAAACTAATTAAGAGTCTCATCTCCCATTCCCTTTAAGAGTCAGCTGCATCGCGCCAAGAGCGCATTCACTATTTACAGGACGTAAAGTAAGTCTAAGTGGAAAAAATGAGCATTTCACTTGCAAACAGTTAACAGTTTTTTTTAACAGAAAACTGTTAAACAGCATCTACTGCGTGAGAATGAGAGATAAATGATCTACTTTCACTTTCGCTCTTGGATAAGGAAACCTTTATGCACAGACATCAATTAGCCTATAAATAATTAATTGCGTTTGTTAAGCGCAAATATTCGTTTCAAAACTGTTTCTAAATTCAGTTCTAATTTCCAGCGAACGAATAAATGAACAACAATAACGAAGTGTGCTCAAAAACCTGAGTTATATCCTAAAACACATGCTGTGCCCCATATGGTCTAAAACCTGACAGGTGGGCAAATCTAAGCTTGTTTTTAATAAAACAAATATAAATATGGATATAATAAATAATACTGCTAATAATAATAACATTATACAAAAGCAAATTGTTATGAATGAACTGAAAAAGCCTCCCGAGATGAAGAAGACATAAAAGCAGTGATTTTTCATATTTATATAGGCTAGAAAATCATATGTTTTGTAATATTTTAATCCTTTATATTTATATCCTATATCTATTCTTATTATATCCTATATATATATATCCTTAATATTTAAATTTTTTCATATGAAAAGATATTTGCCTATTGCTCTCTTGTGCGTATTAAGCAGTGTGTAAGCAAGGCGCAACTCTGCGCTGGAGTTTTGCCGGGTTTGTTTTGGTCTATTGAAAAATCTATTTTAGTTTCTCAAAATAGCAACGCGCCAGCAGTGCGCCTCAGAACGCCTTCCTTTTTAGACCAGAACGCCTATGGGCGCAAAAATGAGCGCTAATGCATTTGCTATTTAAACAGCGTAAAAAAAAACGACTCCTGCGCCAACCTGAAACTACTAAAAGACTATTGCAAGGCGCCTTGCGCCACATTGCGCCGGGTGTATGATAGGGCCCTTAGGCTTTTAGGGTTTTTTAAAGTATAAATTGCATACCACATATACAAGTGTGTGCGTGTGTGTGTGTGTGTGTGTGTGTGGTAACTCTACCTATCTGAGACTGGGCGATCATGGTGGCTTTGCGGTCACAGAGTGGAGAGAAAGGCAGTCCTAGTTCTGCCTCTTTGTCCCCCTGTTGAGTCAATAAAACAATCATTTAGTCACACTGTGAACAACACTCTGAGAACAGTCTAAAAAAGCTTTCCTCTCTATACCGAGACATCATGTACCCGAGATTTCTGAGACGACGGGATTTTGATTACAAGATAAATGCAGACAAATATACTGTATATATATTTCTAGAATTAAAATCCTGTACATATACAGTCGAAGTTAGAATTATTAGCCCTCCTGAATTATGAGCCCCCCTGTTTATTTTTTCCTCAATTTCTGTTTAACGGAGAGATTTTTTAAACACATTTCTAAACATAATAGTTTTAATAACTCATTTCTAATAACTGATTTATTTAATCTTTTCCATTATGAAGGTACATAATATTTGACTAAATACTAGTATTCAGTTTAAAGTGACATTTAAAGGCTTATCTAGGTTAATTAGGCAAGTTATGGTAATTGAAAAAAAACTGAAAAAATAAAGCGGCTAATAATTTTGACCTTAAAATGGTGTTTAAAAAATTAAAAACTGCTTTTATTCTAACCAAAATAAAACAAATAAGACTTTCTCCAGAAGAAAAAATATAGGAAATAATGTGAAAAAAAATCCTTGCTCTGTTAAACATAATTTAGGTAATATTTAAATAAGAAAAAAAAAATCACAGGAGGTCTAATATTTTGACTTCAACTGTATAGACGCGAACACACACACACACGCACGCACGCACGCACACACATTTAACATTTATTTATATATAACTAAAAAACAATGAAACAAAATGATGTAAAATGTTTTCCACTTTAGAAAAGTAATTGGATTAAAAACTACAAACCCTGAAATCTAGCTCATAAAATGCAATTGTACCATTACAGTACATTACAGTATATATATATATATATATATATTTGAAGTCAGAATTATTAGGCACTGAATTATTAGCCCCCCTGTTTAGTTTTTACCCCAATTTCTGTTTAACAGAGATATTTTTTTTCTAATTTCTAAATATAATAGTTTTTTAAACATCATAGTTTTAATAACTCATTTCTAATAACTGATGTTTTTTATCTTTGTCATCATGAAAGTAACTAATATTTGAACTATTTTTTCAAGACACTTCTATACAGCTTAAAGTGACATTAACTAGGTTAATTAGGTTAACTAGCCAGGTTAGGGTAAATAGGCAAGTTGTTGTATACCGATAGTTTGTTCTCAAAAAATATAAAGCTTCTTTTAAAAAAGAAAAAAATAGCTTTCATTCTAGCCGAAATAAAACAAATAAGACTTTTTACAGAAGAAAAAATATTATCAGATATACTGTGAAAATTTCCTTGCTTTTGGGAAATATTTAAAAAAGAAAAAACTATTTAACTATATATATATATATATATATATATATATATATATATATATATATATATATATATATATATATATA